AAAAAAAAAAAAAAATGTAAGGTTTAAAAATACAAATTCCTGTGCATATTAGATTCATCCAGGAAGCTTTAAAACATCAAAGGCCTAGGCCCCACCCTAGATGAATAAAAACAATCCCTGGAAATGGGACCCAGCATCCTGGTTTTTTGTTTATTCTTTAAGCTCTGCATGTAGTTGTAGTGTGCAGCCAGGTTGAGACCCATTGCTGTAAGAGATTGGCAAATGAGCTGCAAGGACTCTCAGAGTTCACAGACACATGATTGGCATACAGCTGGCAAACATAATTTTGCATATAATTTTCATTTGTTCCAGGAAGAGAATTTTAACAAATGTGCCCATGTCCCTCTAAAATTTAGAAACCAACATTCAAGGGAAGTTTGGAATACATGCTCTTTAATGATATTGATTAGTATTCCTTTCTTTAATCGCCCTTTGGTGAAAATTGAGCAGTTAAAGGTTTGCAGAACTGGCAGGTAGGAGGTGCTTGTCATATAGGCGCTCCCTGTTGCTATTTAAGAATAGATGCATCACCTTAGCAGTCAGATGCGTAGAAGGTGGGTGTGATCTCTGTTGAGGATCTTAAGTAGCCATAGGAATTAATAGCTTCTGAATGAATAGCTTCCCTGCCTCTCTCGTGGGGAATCTTAGCTGTTTATTAAAAATTAATGCTGATTCTGTTGCTGCATGCTAAGGATGCATGTCCTCACTCCCTAAAACTCTACCTCAGAGAGCACAGCTAAGATAAATGTGGCCTGGAAAAACATTAAAGCCCCTGTTACCCACAGAACCTGACTATAGTTATGAACTGCATAGCAACATGAAGGACGGACCACATGTATGATAGTGTTCCCATGAGATTACAGTGGAGGTGAAAAATTCCTGTCATCTAGTGATGTTGTAGCTATCATGTAATATAGAATAGTCATGTTTTCAAATGTAGCTTAGCCTAAGTGTACAGTACAAAAGTTCACAGTGGTATACAGTAATGGCCTAGGCTGTCCCATTCACTCATCACTCAATCACTGACTCACCTAGAACAAATTTCAGGCCTGTAAGCTCTGTTCATGGTAAGTGCCCTATATAAGTGAACTATTTTATTTTAACCTTTTATACCATATTTTTCCTGTAGTTTATGTGTAGATAATGTTTACATACACAAATATTTACCATTGTGTTATAATAGGCTACAGTAATCAGTACAGTAACATGCTATACAGACATGTAACCTAGGAGCAATAGGCTAATCCATGTAGCCTAGGTGTGGAGTAGGCTGTCTCACCTAGGTTTGAGTAAGTACACTCTATGATGTTGGTTTGCATGGCAAAACCACCTGACGACACATAGAAAGTGTCTCCATTGTTAAGCAACTCATCACTGTAGAGCATGCATGCTCCTTTGGCACATAAGACTTTACAGCCATCCAGAGAACTTAGCAGGTTAGACTAATTTCAAAATGTGTCATTAAGCAACTAAATGAATTTCTTTAATATGGAGAATTAATGCCTGTCAATAGAAATAATAGTTCAGTTTTAGAAAAACTGAAATTAAGCCAACACTCTTGGATTATGAAAATCATCTAATTGCTGAACAGGAGAAATTGTACCTTATATAAAATGATGTAGTATTTGCAGATAACCTATACAAATAATCTCTTATACTTCAAATCATCTCTAGATTATACCAAATACAATGTAAATGGTATGTAAATAGCTATACTAATTTTAAAAATTTGTATTTTTATTGTTATATTATTTTCATTGTGTCTTTTTTCCTCTCCAAATATTTTCAGTCTGAGATTGATTGGATCTGCAAGTGCAGAATCGCAGATAAAGGGGGCCAAGTGTATTCTTTTGTAGAAGGCTTGCAAGAAGTTTGAATAGATTGTGGAAGTGTCAGGTGCTGTGCTAGACCCTTTGTAAATGTTACATTATATATCTCCATATAAAACTGTGAGGTCATTTTTATTCTCATTTTATGGATAAAGAATGTCAGGCCACCCTGAGGTCACAGAACCAGTGATAGAAATAAATCAAAACTTGAATAGATAGAAAAGACACTTTGCAAGATTATCTTATGGTCATGAAGTCAAAAGACTTGAGTTTAAGACTTAACTCTGTGGCCTTTGTCACTTAAGTCTTCAGACCATAGTTTCACCTTCATTTATAAACAAAACACTCAAGTCTGCACTCTCTACCTCAGAGGTTATCATTGAAATATTTTAATTAATTCAGCTAAGCTATGGAGAGATAGTACCGCCTTCTGGGATACAATGCAAATAAAACCCAGTACCTGTCACATAGCAACTCATGGTCCTTCAGAACAAAAGAGGCAGGTAAATAAACCATTGCAAGTTAATGATGTCAGGTGCAGAGTGATGAGGTAGGGGGTTCTCAGGGATGTTGCCTCTGTGGTTAAGCAGACATCTGACTGACAAGAATAGGGGCATTCCCTGGGTGCATACTTAGGTGCCAGGGGCCGGGGTGCTGTGGTGAACTAGGCAGGTGGGCCACCATCCTGGGGTCTGAGGAGGGAGGCAAGCATGCATCAAGTCATCACAAAATGAATGAAAACTGTATCTCTTGCTACCTGGCAGAGGGACATGGGGCATTCGTAGAATAGGGGAATTTGACCTAGTTCTGGTGGAAGCTGAGGAAGACTTCCTGAGGAAGAAACAGTTGAAAGCTATCTGCATGGTGAATAGGCAGCCATGACCAAATGAACCTCTCAGCTACTTCCTTGTCAAAGATCACCCACTGCTTGCTAGAGGTATTATAATATCATATGAGACAATCTGTGTAAAGCATTTGATACTGAGTAGATGGATAGTAAGCATTCAATATATGTTGGCTATTCTGATGGGAATTTTCATTTATTCAGCAAATATTAAATGACTGTTGTGTGCCATGTCCCCAAGCTAGTTGCTGGGAAACAAGGCCCCTGTTCCTTAGGAACTTAAATTCCACTGGATGAGATGAACATTAGAAAAACAAATTGTACATTCCTGTGTGTGTTTACCGACTGCATAGCATGCTGTGATGGGGAGATGAGATGTGCTACAAGATTTTAGTTTTTAGGTAGAGACTGGAAGCTTGGATGTCTTAACGGAAGGGAAACTAAACAGGAGCAGCAGCCTGATACTTAGAGGGAAATTAGGCCTACAACAAACTGGATGAACTGGATGAGGTTCTCAGGTTCAAAGTGTTTTCATTCAAACAATGCTCTGGCGTCATCAAACACAAAAGTAACAGTCACTGAAGCATTTGGTGGTGTTTGTGCTTGATTAGATTTGCCCTTAGAAAGTTGTTCTGAGAATGTCATGGGGAATTGAGATCGGAGTGAGGGCAGGAAGGAGTCAGGGACTGTCTGATGTGGAGGGAGCTCAATGATTTGGGCTGGAGAACTCAAGATCTGAGGGAGAAGGAGAGGGATTCAAGAGACTCTAGGGGAAGCATGAGTATTTCACAATACATTTTAAAAGATAAAGCCCATGTCTGTGGAAAGAATGTCATTCCACGGGATTCTGCCCATCCCATTGCTCCTTGATTCAGCAGATACTTTGCTGAGTCCAGGCACTGCTGGTTAATACAGTGCTGAGAAAGGCACTCCTCCTGCAGTTTCTGTCTGTCACTGGCTATTGTGAAACAAAATTTAGCAAAAGTGTAAGACTAGGATAGGAAAAAGAGTAGATTTTAAATGTTCTGACAAAGTATGTGAAGTGCTTGGTATGTTGGTTAGCCTGATATAATTGTTCCACAATATATACATCTATCATCACACTGTAGCCCATAAATATATGTACTGCAAGACTTTATTCTTTAGGTAGGGACTGGAATTATTACTTTTTAATATAAAAATTCAGATAAAAAATAAGACGGTTTCCTATATTTTTTAGGTAGGGACTGGAATTAATTACTCTTCAATTTAAAAATTCAGATAAAAATTAAGACAATTTCCTAGAATAAATGATTGGCTTGTAGGACAGAATTAAAGAGAATTATCTTTGTTGTAGCCCCCTAAAAAACAAAAACACAAACTGCACTAATTATTGTGATCTTTTCTTCGTCATAGATTATGAGTGAGACCCTATCTAGAAGGTATTTCTTTCTTATGATAGGCAAGTTTAGATGGGCTTCAGGTCATACTTGTAGTGTTCTGAATCTGTTTGAGGACACAGAGTGAGGCTGAGTAAATCTCTGTTGGACTTAAGACTCATTCTTCTCCAGTTAAGTCATAGTCAGCCTGCACAGATGGAGTGTGTTTTCATTGGTGTGGAATTATATACCTTTTTTTATTTTAACAGGTGGTAACAAACAGGGATACGCAAGAAACTCTCCTCTGCATGGCCTGTGTGTTTGAAGTTTCAAATAGTGAACATGGAGCACAACATCATATTTACAGGCTTGTAAAGGACTGAACATGGTTATTTATATATATAGATATCTGTATATACACACACACATATGTGCACACACACACACACACTCTCTCTCCATTATCGAATGACTGACTGTAAACCTCACCACACAGGGTGGTGCCCTGGCCCCGAGGTCACCCCAGCTTTTCTAAATCCTGTTTGAGTGAAGTCATTTTTTCATGTGTTCATACTATCATGGTAGCTGTGAAGTTCTGGTACAGTTGTAAAAAGAGAAATTGAGTTGTTTCTGTATGTTCTTCAAATGTGCAGCCCACAGTTCCTCGGGAAAGGTGAACCTGAACAACCCAAGTCTCTCTCTGCAGAGCCCTGTTTCTAATTGTGGTAGAAAATATTGAGACAGAGCATTTGCCATGGGACATTTACAGCCTTTATACAAATGTATTTAGTTCTCTTTTTTCCAACGTAAAATTCTTGTTTTAAGATACAAGTAAAATTAATCTTTAAATATAAATGTAAATTAGTACACAAAACTAAGAATCTTTAGACTTATCTTTGTAACTAATTAGGGTGGAAGTTATGAAAGAATGTAATTCACTAAATTATTTTTTAAATGAAACCTTTTTTTTTTCTTTTTGAAACCAAATGTTAAACTATAGCCTTAAGAAATGCTTGGTAGAAGTGTCCTAATGAGACAGATTTGTACTTTTTTTCCTCAAGGTTAACACTAATCTCCTAATCCATTAAACTCTTGAACAGGTATTACAAAGGAAGAAAACTTCACCCCTTACCCTTAACATATATAGTATATTTAAAAATATAAAATTGTATTGTACTAATGTGATGATTATTTAATGAAAAAGAAAAGATGGCTCTTTTTGCAATAAGTAGATACATACTGAAAAAAATCTAAACTTACAATGTTTATAGTCTTGTGTGTGCAGTTATATTTTATATGGACAACCAAATTTTTTATTATGCTGAGTAAATATTTGAACCACTGAATTTTAATAACAAAATTTTTAAATTGGCATGAATACTGCACTTTGAGATGCAAACTATAGAGAATTCTGTGGCTGGGAGAAAATTTAATCAAACAGACAAGTAAAAGGCTCATCAGTTTTAGCATCTCTGCTCCGCAGAAAACTAAGCATCCTCTCTAGCCTGTGGATACATTCTTTATTTCTGGTGACCCAATATGCATATTAACCTGCTGTAACTAGAGGCCTGTGTATATGTATGTGTATACATATACACACATGCACATATAGTTATTCAACACATTTAGTGAACACTTGTTTAGTGTCACTCAGTTTGCTAGGTGCTGATATGTATGTATATCTCAATCTGTGTCTGTAGACTTAAATACATCCTCTCTAATAACATTCATTTCCTTAGCATCTTTCAGTAAGTTACAGTTCTTGTTTGACTTAGGTTTAAGAGGCCCAGCTACCTCTCTCTGATTTTTTTCAAATAATAGGCTCATTTGGGAGATTCTCTTTCCAGGAGAGATTCAACTTTCCAATCTAAGTATTCCAGAGCATTGCCCAGACAGAGTTGGTTAGATGTGGCCTGGATGTTTTGAGTTATTTCCGTAAGTGTTTCACTGGGGAGAGAACAGGGAGTATCCCTCCAACTTCCCAAAGAAATAGGTTTTTATAAGTGGTAGGAATATATGAACACAATAGAACATGAAATAAGTTTCGTAGTTTCTAAAACATGTCAAGATTTTTCCACCAAGCTAGAAAATAAAAAACTTAGTTCTGCCACAACCAAGTAACTTACACGCCCCCTTCCCTATCTCAACACCTGCATTGACCCTGCTTGTGTTAATACAACAGTCAACATCTGTGGTCCTGAACAAGATGTTCAGCTGGCTCATGGGAAACACCACAACACTGACTAAGCCTGACCTCTCCCAAACGCATCCCTGGTCATTGGGAAGACCAGAGGAAAAAGTGCAAAATTGTCCCCATTTGGAATGCCTGTTCTTCTGTAACCCAGTTGGATAGTGCTACTCTGCCCGTCATAAAGAGATACTGTTGGTTCTCTGATTCCAGGCTGCCCTGTGAAGGATTGCCCCAGGTATCCCCTTTCACAGTCACCACATTTGCAATGACTTGTTGAACATCCCTCTTAGGGATGTTTCTTTTGCTTTTATATCCTGCATCTTTCCTTAAGGGAAGACCCATCCTCTCCCAGGACCCAGGAGTATATGACTGGGCAAGTACAGAGGTTTGCCAAGCCATCCTAGAACTTCAGTGGGAGAGATAACTGGTTCATATTCTACCCAGGAATGGGACTTTTCAGTGCAGCCAGACAGGCTCTTGGGATTTACTTTTCAAAGCACAAAAATATTGGGACCCAAGGACAACTCTCTTTGTGCAGACATGGACACAGCCCATTCTGCTGACCTCACAGAGTCAGCTGGGCCCCCTGGTGCTTTACGCCCTGCATCCTCTTGCTCAGAATATGCCTTTGCAGTTGAGTTTTCTGGATTTCTATGATTGACCTTGAAGTTTTCCTCCTTGCTCTTAACATCTAAAGATTTTTAAGAGTTTATTTCTTATCTTATTCTTCTAAAGCTTTCTCCAGGACAGATATTTTCTGTCTTAACCACTGGTCCAGTCACCCCAGTGGGCTTCTCTTTGTCTCTCCCAGATTAGACCCTTGGATGCGATTGGCATCACAACATCTAATCGGAGTCTGTCTTTTGTCCTTCATTCTGTAAGGCAGTCTCCATTTGTTGTAAAAGCTTTCTAAAGCATACTAAAGAAGCCTTCCCAGAGCCCTGTCTCACTGCTCCTCCAGGTGCTCTATCTCCTCGAGACCCTCTGGTGCCAGGCTTGCTTCATGGCCATCTTGTGCTTTCACTGCCGTTTGGGCGCCAGTTTTCCACAGCCTAAACGGGGAAGCTGTCAAACGGGGCTCTGGTCTGTCGGCATTCATTTGCATCCTAGAGGCTGAGAATAAAACCAGGACTTCCTCACACATGTTCTGGAACCCCAGCATGTAGAAGGTTTCTCAACCTTGACAGCACTGACATTGTGGACTGGGCAATTCTTTGTTCTGCAGAGCTGTCCTGTGCATTATGGGAGATTTACTAATATCCCTGGCTTCTACCCAGTAGCACCTCTAGCACCTCTTCCCTCAGGTTTCACAACACAGCGTGTCTCCAGACATTGCCAAATATCCCATCAGGTACAAAATGATCCCAGGCGAGACCTCCTGCCCAAGATCTTACAGGTCACAGTGACCACATTTGAAATTGTTTTCCTTCCATTTTACCCCGTGAAACCATCTCTCCCGGAGCCTTGTTTCACGTCACCAAGAGGCAGGTAGGATTATTAAGTGACATTGTATCTACGTTTCTTCCTGTTTCAAAACTTCTGTTTCACAACAATTTCTCTCTCCCTACGAGTACCCTTTCACTCAGCCCTGGGGAAGTTGGAAACAGCAGGTCAGCTTCATTCCTTAGTTTACTGGGGTTAAAAAAAAAAGTCTCAGCAATTTTCCTTGTTTCTCATGGGTTTCATTATCAAACCTTTACTTATTTCAACATATTTCCTCTGGGCTTCTTCTAGTTTCTGCCTTAAAATCATTGCTGTTTTGTAAATGTATTGAAATCTCTGGAACATTTCACCTTTAGAGGTGGAAGATGGAGGGATTCACACCAGACGAGGGCTTAGAGAACTTTTCTTTCTTGAGCTGAAAGAGAGCACAGCCTACCTTCCTTCGTTTTGTCATGAGAACGTTGAGAGCCAGAGGGGAGGTGACATGTCCAGAGTCACCCAGCTGGTTAGTGACAGAAAAGGGTGAGACTTGTCTAGGGTTCCTGCCACTTTGATCCTTGGCCTCTCCTGGGGGAGGCTGCTATTCTTTGGTGCTAGAATGTGTGGGCAGGTCAGCTTAGGAGAGACGGAGATTCAGGATCCCCCTGTGCCAGAGCACAGCCTCACCAATGCTGCTTCCCACGCCAGACTGTCCTGTCCCACCGTTGCTATCTGAGGCATCTACACAGGCAGGAAAGCTGGTGAGCCGTTTTACTTCCTGAGGACAATTCCCCGGCCACAGGCTCTGAGTCAAATTTCTATTTGGTAAGCATCCTAGCAGCAAAGTCCTGCACTCAGACCAGCCAAAAAACAGCCCCCGTTCCAAGTACTTGGTGTCAAAAGTCCCTGAATGACTTTTAAACCCAAGTCTTCTTAAGGTTTCAGTACTGTGGTGGCTTTAGCAGTTGTTTTTGTGCAACTATAAATTATTTAAATCATACGAGATGACAGTCAACTTTACAAATCAGGTACATATTAATTTGTGTAATTTTGTGTATGCTCTGGTACACTATACCTGAACTAACGAAGGGTAGAACTAATTTCTGTTTGTCGGTGTTCACACCTGTGACATTAGGAGGATATGTCTGCATTGCTTATTTCTTTATTATGTTGATGTTTCTGTGGCAAAGCCCTGCACATGGCATTTCTGAAAAGCCTTAAATCTTCAAGATGTTGCATGTAGGGTATGCAGTGCAAAAGGCTGCCTCGGAACTGCGGGCCCTTTTGTAAGCTGGAAGCATTTCTCTTACTACTGTTACTTTTGTAGGAAGTTTTCAATTCAGAGCTGCCAAAGCGTTCCCATAAGCAGTGCCTTAGTAATACCTTAGTCATGCCGCCAGCCTTTTCTTACACTGATTGCTAATGTTCATTTACTAATTGGCCCAATATTAGAAACAAAACAAGCAAAAATTGTCTTCATTTTATGTTTTTTAAGCCCATTTTTTTCTCCAGTTTATAGGAAACTGACTACTTGGTCTAAATCTGAAGCTGGGCACAAGTCAGTTCTTTCACCACACTCTCAAATGTATATACCAAAACAAAAGGTTGCAACTTCATAGTTTACTATGAAAAGCAAATTGTACTTTTTAATGTTGCCTTTTAAATTCATGACCAAATACTTAGCTATTTGTGAATCTTCTGCACTCTAGCATGAAAGTGCCTTTGGTTTGAGATTCCAGCTTAGAAAAGTGCTGCCATAATAACGATAATTTGTAGAGAGACCAAAAATATTTTGAGATCACCGTAATGCCTTTGGTTTACCGGGATGAGTAACCAACCACAGGCCTCTGTTCACAAGAGCACGACGTGGTCCCCGCCTGCTGCTAGTCTGTCTGCCAGTGGGGACCCCCCACCATCTATAGCACACTGCAGCGGAAGGACCCCAGAAACTGTTGTGTTTGTGTGTGCCGATGACCCAGTGTGTCATTTCACCTTGTCACCCAGCCCTGCGTCCAGATGAGGGGACTTCCGCACAAACGACAGAATCTCGGCCGGTGGACAGATATTACAGCTTTCTCCTTCTCCTTGTTTCATGTTCAGTCTCTGTGGAGACTTTCTTTTCCATTCAAATGACAGTGCGCACTTATCTGGTTTACACAATGATACCATTTTGAAAGTTGGAAGGCTCAAACTGAGAAGACAGTGCAGAACAAAACAAAAATGAGTTAGGGTTGTTACAATTGAAGTCTTCTTAGGGCAAACATATTGACTCCGAGTATCGTGTATGAATGTGCTACGAGAAACTTCCAAAGAGCACCATTCACAATTTGGCATTTTCAAAGAATGTTCCAGCCCCCGAAGGGACAACTCTTTAAAGTCCTTGTTGGCTTTTATCCAAACCTTGTAGAAATTGGGAAAACTGTTAGAGGTAAGGAAGAGGAGTGAAAAGGACAAGAAGGCCAAACACCAGCCAAAAAGAAGCCAGGAAAAAAAGATTTTTCTTTGCTAATATAAATGTAAAAATAACATCAGACATCTTTGAAAATTAGCCTCTAAACTCCTAATACATATGTTCTGTCTGTCTCTATCTGGTGTCTTTAAGAATATCCTCTCTGGGCTCTGAAATTTTAGGAGTGATTCCTATCCACTCCAAGTTGTGAGTATTTATAGAAATTTGTGCAAACAAAAACTATCAAATGAAAATGTACTGAACCTAAGTTAGAGTTAGCTGCTTAAATTCTCAGCTCCTCCCTGCCTGCACTACACCACAGTGTGGAAGAAATTAGTCAAATGCTGTTTTCCCGCTTCTCTTTTCAACTGTTACTGTGCTTTGTTTGACAATAGTTCTCCCTCATAAAGTCATTGCTTATATCATTAAGAATGAAGGTTTGTGTTTAAAATTTATTGCATTGCAAAGGGTAGTTTCACTGAAGTCATGCACCGTTAAATAAGATGAAACATTTGTATTTATTGTCCTACTTCCTATGCCTAAGTAATTTCTTTTACTCTGTGAATTTGCATTGAGTCACTCACATGCCACACTCTACATCGTGTTAGTATTGGAGATGGCTTTTATGTTTCCTCTCGCTCATCATTAAATGAGGTCAGATTCCATTAGATTCCACCTCTCTCAGGTTGACTCTTTTGTCTGCCTTCCATGATGAGATTGTTTCTCCTTCCCCCTTCTCTAAGACAGGCTGACAGATCTAGGTGTTAATCAATTAGAAACCAGTCTGATTTTTTTCATTAGTCATTTTCTGTCATTAGTTTCACTGTGTAAATTAGGTATCAACTGCACTTCCTTAAAGAAACAAAAAACATCTCCCTGTTACCTCCTTGAAAGATTTACTTCTGTAGGCCTTTTTCAATAGGCTCATGACTGCAGACAAGGGAAAAAAAAGTAAAAACAAAAACAGTACGTGCCTGAAAATGACAAAAAAATTTTTTGTAACATTTAAGAAAGAAACCTGAATAGCCTTTACTTCTTCAATAATACACTTAAATTTTACGTAAATTGGTTTTTGCCACGTGTGTTTGTTCACATTCTAAATGACTTAATGGGATTCTCTCAGTCTGTGTCTGTGTCACGTGTATAAAATGGGCTTGTGACGTAAGCGTTTCATCTGGTCAGTGGTTCCTTTGATATTGTACTGCTGCTGGGAGTGGGCTGTGGAACTTGCCTTCGGGTAACTGGGTTCCTCTTGGGTAGATTGGAGAGATGGGGGTGGGCATGGGCAAATTCTCACACACGTTTTCTTAACCTATTTGCAGAAACTTTCAAAAGGCATTTGATTAAACCTCTTGGCAGTACAGTATTCTTGTATTTGTTAACGTCTGTGTTTAGGTACTGGTACCTTTTTGTTTTAAAATGTTCTAAGTGTTGGCTTTAAAGTGAATTTATCTTTAGTATGATAGTTATATGAAAATTATAGGATTTGTGTGCAGAGAATTTTTTTATAAAGTGCTTTGTAAAAAAAAAAAAAATGTATTCTAGCTTTTGCGGTACATATGTGTGATAACTTTAATATCCATGACAGTTAAGTGCAATTATTTCATCACTCTAAAAATGCTATTTTTGTGTCAGTTCCTGCAGGTGTTTTCATGTCTTTGCAAAGTGACACATTTTGATGCCTTCTTGATAAAGTGGTAGACATTTTGTAGCTTTCTAGAAACTTTGTATTCATACGGTATCAATGGAAAATAAAGAAAATGAAAGTGTGGGTCACCTTTTTTATCTGCAGAAGTGTATGTTGTTAAGAATGAAATGAAGTATGTGTTGTGAGTGATAATATGAAGAACAGCGTAAAGGAGGTTGCAGCTTTCATCCTTTTGAAGGTGTCCACCAAACTTGATAATTGGAACTTTTTAGGTGTTACATTTAAGATGGTTTTTTTTTTTTTTTTTTTTGAGACAGGGTCTTGCTCTCACCCAGGCTGGAGTGCAGTGGCACAATCTCGGCTGGCTGCAACCTCTGCCTCCCAGGTTCAAGTGATTCTCCTGGCTTAGCCTCCCAGGTACTTGGGACTAGAGGCACCCACTACCATGCCTGGCTAATTTTTCTATTTTTAGTAGAGGCAGGGTTTCACCATGTTGGCCAGGATGGTCTCGATCTCGACCTCATGATCCACCCGCCTCAGCCTCCCAAAGTGCTAGGATTACAGGTGTGAGCCAGCCACCGTGCCCAGCCTCTCTAACAAGGTTTCTTAAAAAATGCCCACAAGTCAATCAGTCCACCTGTCTATCTCACTCTTTAGTGCTTCATTAAAATTGACATAAATTTTGCAGAATGGCTTGTCTGTGGATCCCAGACTTACCCTGAGAAGCCAAGCCTCAGTACACCAGCCCAACCATTGAGTGTGTGTTGTTGCTGTTAACCCAATTTGCTGGGCATATGCCAGGAATGAGGGATAGGGCAGAGGATAAGGTACAGATATAAATACAGCACGGCTCTTTCCTACACAGTACTTAAATTCTTAGGAGCTGGATTGCACATTGAGCTATAACTCCTGACCCTGTCCTCTGCATCACCATGGGGGTTCATGATTCAGGTGTATGCAGCACATGTGCATAACAAAACTTTGGATTCCCCAAGAGTTTACCGTTTGCTGGGCACTGTGCCAAGTGTATTTGATACAATGTATGTATACATTGTACTTTAAAATTCTCACTGTAGTTCCAGTGACATTATTCCCCCAAACTGAGGCCCAGAAAGGATAGCTTATTAAAAGTCATGACTAGTACATGGTGTGGCCTTAAAGAAGATCATTCTGACAGTTCAGCCTGGACTCTTGGCGCCTGCATCTTGGCTCACTGTGCTAGGGAAGCAGCTCAAGACTAGAGGAGAAATCTGGCTTGGGGGCAAAGAACTTTCTTAAACAGTGATGATCTTGGACTTCTGACAATGAGACTCAAATGTACCTTGGGATCCTTCATTTGTGAACTAGACCTCAGAAGCTCTTGCTTCTCTATTTCTTTGAAGTCTGAGGAAAACCTGCCTGAAATCCCAAGAAGCATGCTCTGGAGGGGAGCATGAACCGCGTGAACTTGCCTGTCCCTTTGAAACTGATGATTTTCAGCAATCCACCATTTTTGAGAGGAATGCCATTGTCCAGTGAATTGCTCAGAGCAGAGGGAAGGAAACAATTTAGCATTTTGTCGAAGTCCTATGCCAGGCATCTTTGCCATTTTCTTTAACCCACATACTCTTGAAAAGAGGAATCATTTCTAATTTTTCAGCAAAGGAAGTGAAGCCTAGAGATGGTAGAGGCCCTTATTAAGGTCATGCAAGCTGGTCATGGCAGCTCTGGTGTGGCCACTCATGACACTTTTCTACCTCCTCCTCTAAAACAAGGTACTTTAATACCTCACAAACATCCTTTGTTAGTGCCTAGGGTTCCAGTCACTTTGAGTTCAGCAAAGAGAGTGACCTGCTATTTAAGCCAACATTGAGTAAAGAGACTAGAGGAGCAAAGAGGAAGGTTCTGGTATGATCAAGGAACAAGCAACTTGGCTGGAAACTCCTAGTCATTTCTTCCTGCCTTATTGCTTCAGGGTACTAATATAAATAACTACTATTTGTTGGAAGTCATATTAGTTACTATAAAGCAATCAGTGTGAGCAACTGATAAAATTCCAATAATGTGTTATGTAAGCCTCTGAGGTGCCAGTGGGTAAAATTGCCTTCAAAGCCTCCCTCGTCCTGTTTGATGCCCCCTAATGCCCCATATACCTGATTTTATGTAGGTTATCACAAGTAGTGGATAGGCTGCTGATTACTTGACTGCATCTTTTCAGCAAATATTCTCCTACTTGCTTAGGTTTCCAAGATGCTCAGAATTTTAATTTGTCCCCTGTGCTATTAAGAAAATAACTAAAATATAAAGGCACAGAATGATTCAAAGAATGAAAAATATATACTATCAAAACACCAAAATAAAGCTGATGTAGCTATATTGACTTCAAACCAGTATAGCCCAAGGCAAAAGTTACTACTAGAGTTAATGAAGATTACTTCAAGAAGACATGGGTTTCAGATAACAAAGAAGAATAAAGATGCTAAACTTGTATGCACCTAATAACATAGCTTTGAATTATATAAAGCAAAATTTGACAAATGGCCATAGAGGGAGTTTTTTTTTAAACTCATCCAGTTACAGATAAAGCAGACCCCCAAAATCTAAGATAAAGAGAATTTGAACAGCATAATTTAATGTGCTGTTCAAAGTACAAAGTAATGAACCCCAAAATTGGAGACTACATTATTTTCAAGTGCATACAGAATTTTCATGAAAATTGACCACGTCCAAGGCTGAAGGCCAGGAAACTATGGCTCATGAGCCAAATCTTGCCCACTGCCTATTTTTGTAAATGAAGTTTTATTAGAACACAGCCACCATTTGTTTACTTACTGTCTATGGCTGCTGTCACAGGACACTGGCACAGTGGATTAGTTGTAAAAAGATCCTATAGCTCACAAAACCTAAAATAGTTGCTATGTGGACCTTTACAGAAAATTGCCAAATGCCACTTAAGCCAAAAAGCAGGGTTCTATATCCAGTAGTCCTAAAAGGATACTCATGATTCCCTTTCTTCAGTGTATAGACACTGGCAAATTGTTAAAGATCCCTTTGATACCCTCATGTGGCATCCTAGTAACCTTCCTTAAGTGCCCCAGCCACTCCTTTGATCTGTAGTCTAGGTCTGAGAATAGGCTTAGATCTTAGATCTTGAAAGGATTAGTGAGGAATGGTGTCTCTCTCTCTCTCTCTCTCTCTCTCTCTCTCTCTCTCTCTCTCTCTCTCTCTCTCCCTCTCCCCCCCCCACACACATACACACACACACACACTTGCAGCAGCAGTTGACATCACCTGATCTTAATATTTTATTATCAGAACAGTCAAGGTGCCCATCTATCTTAACCCTATCTTGCCATGGTCTACTTAGCCATCTCTACAGATCCCTGTGGGGCTGCACTCCTCCCTTGCCATTCCCTGCTGCCTATTATGGTAATAACTAACTTGCTGCTGACAGCTTAGTGCTGTCACCTGGCCTCTGATGTTCCAGAATCCTATCCATTCACACAAGGGAAAACAATTCTATATCAGTGTCCTCTATTATCAACTCCTTCAAACCACCACAGAGTTTCTCAACAGCACAGCTCACTCACTAGTGCATTCACTCTGGTTTTGGTGAAGGATGTGTCTATGGCACATAGGTAGTGGGTGTTCTGGTCATAAATTAGAAATCTATCCCAGTAGCATTGCCACTTTCAACTTTCTGAGCCCTGCCTCTGTTCTGCAGGGCAGTTCCAGCACCTCCGCCTCATTTACTCTGACCATGGTTCATTTCCTCCAAACTTCAAGGAGCTATCCAGCAGCAAGCTAGGATCAGTTCCAGGTTCCTGTATTGTAGAAGACTATCCCACATATTGATAAACCGTCCCTAATCTAGTCTAGTCTTAGGTCCTCAAAATTCATTCCCAGGCATGTTCTCCCAATTCCTACTGAGAAGAGTAGACTAGCCAAATCCTGCAGCTGATCCCTCTCCTCCTGAAGCAAGGACCCAACTTCCCCAACTGGACCATGCTGAGGCTTTACCCTAGTAATTGGGCTAGAAGAAACGACAGGAGGTCGGGCAGACCTTGGAGAAGGCAAGCACTTTATCTTAGGAGGCATTCATTTCAGTTGAGGCCTTGACATGGTCTCCAAGCAAGGAAGGCTGTTATCCATCAGCAAGAGAGGATGGACCACTAACCCAGAGGGGCTTAAGAAGAATACGAGGTTCAGAGTTCTCAGCATTTCCATCCAAATGTTCCCACCCCATGTTTAGGGTCCCTCCTTAGCTATTAGTGCCTGATTTTAACAGTATATTTGTGAGAGCTATCAATTCAATAGTGTTTGTAACTTCTGCTTGATTTTTGGCACAATTCTGTCCTCTAGCTGCATAAGCTGAGGATCCCTTTAAATGCCAGGGAGTCCTCTGACACCCTGCCTAAGTTAAGCCTGATTGCCTTCCATCCTTGCAGTGATTGCACTTAGCAACAACCCACCTATTCCACAGTCCTTATAAATTAGCACCACTACCATCTCTCTTATCATTCTAAATATTATGTGAGTGAGTGTATCTCCTTCCTCATGGGCCCAATACCAATTTACCACAGGTAGGAGTCTTAGCTATTGTGGTGCTACAACATACTAGGGGAGACAAACTTTTCATTTAGGTTCCTCCAAGAAGCAGACCCTAAAAAAGGACTCAAGTGTAAAGTTTATTTGGGACCACTAACAGAGAGAAAAGATCACTTTGTTTAATAAAAGGTTAAATTCATGAAGGTGAAATAATTTTAAATTGGTATGCACTTAATAACAATTGCCATGAAGGATGTGAAAGAAAAATAAGAGCAACAAAAGAAAGTACAGTTCAAAATCATACCTCTCTCAGTAATTAAGGAAGCAAGCAGACAAATATTAGGAAATAGATAGAAATTTTGAAGTATTGAAAATACACATTTATATGCACTGTTTGTACACTATATCCCCAAATTGTCAAATTAATATTTTTCCAATCACATATGGAACAATATGAAAACCTGTACTTGCAAATTAAGCAAGTCTCAGTGCATTTCAAAGGATTGCTACAATACACACAGCATTCTCTGACTACAATGGATTTAAGTTAGAATCAATATAAAAGGCATCTTTAGGAAAGCTCCATATATTTGAGAGTTCA